ACAAACTATGAGTCTACCAGGAGACAACAACAGAGTCAGAATACATTTTTTATTTCTTTACAAAGTTTTGGATGGTCAAACTATCATGACTACATTAAATTTCTTCCATGAACCTGTTTTCTAAATCCCAGCACTTAAACATCGGTCGCAGCGACAAGCACGTTCCAGAGTGAAAATTTTACTGAACAGCACCCCCTGGTCACAGTTCTTAACGGGTCACAAGTTTCGACACAACACTAAATTCTGTTCTCTATTTGTAAATTCAGATAACTGTCCCCCGCCTGGAAATCTGTTTTTAAAAATCGAAATTTGGTATTAGGTTTTGCTTGACAACATGCCATGTATTGAATCTGCTTTTCTGCAGCAGACATGCTCTTTGACAAAATCATGGGCATGGTTTAAACAGATCTTTAATCTGATAAAATAATATATATTATAATATTATAATATAATAATATTATAATATTAATTTTATAATATAATATTATAAAATAAGTTGCAGTAATAAAAATTAAAACAGTGACATTTTTTGCATAACTCAGCCATCACTATTTCTATGCGAACAAGTGGCTAGCACATAATGACCTAAGAGAAAGATTTTAAGCATGTTTATACACTGTATTTCTCAAAATTACAAAAAAAAAAGGTTTCCCCTATAAATATGCATAACAGAGAGAGCATATAATGCTTTACCAAAACAGAGAACTACAAATGATAAAAGGGCTGTACATCTGTCTGGGAATGGTTTAACAAATATTAAAAGCTGGGCTAGGAGATATGGCCTTTAAAAATAAAATTCCCAATTTTTTTTTCACAAAAAAAAAAAGAAAAAAGAAAGAAAGATTTACCATGCAGTTTTACCCCCTCAAAAAAGTGTGGAGTTTAAGGTTTTTAAACTACATAATTAGCTTAAACATATGTCAATTATATAATTATGGGGTATAAAATGTTAATATTTAAAAAATGTAAAAAAAAAAAAAAACTCCCTTATATTCCTTTCATGTCCATTGTTAACCAATAAGGTGAACGCAGCATCATTCCCCACTAATCAGTAGGGTTGGGTATCTTGTTTTTTTTTTTCGATACCGGGGCTAAACCGATACTTTTAAAATGATACCGGTGCCTGAATGGATATTTTTTAGCCACAAAATGATGGTGGGTAACTCTACAAAAATATTTTATTTGACAAAATATTTTTAAAAATCATTTTAATAGAACAATATAATTACAGTTTAAAGTTAAAATCAATTCATGTTGTATTACATTAATACATTTCCTTTGATCATTTGTTGGTTAGCATGAATTTAAGATTTGCATTATAAAATTACATTAGCTTACTATTAACCCGTGGGGGGGCGGGCAGGGGCCACGTACTTTTAGGAGCACATTTTAACATAAATATTACAAAATACTTAAAACATTATTTGAAGCCAATTGTTTTCATGCATCACTCTGCAGTCTTCATAAACAAGATAATTAAATAACTTAAACTCAAAATAATCTTCCTTGTTCATTTATTTGACAAGTAACGTTATACTGGTGTAGGAGAACACATTTCTAACATTCAAGTACATCAAGGCACATTGCTGCACCTGCAAATTTTAACAGGCCCACAGTTGAAGTCAATTTATTTTGCCCTCCTATTCATTTACAATAATGTTTCTAAAAAATTTTCACAGTGTTTCCTAAAAAATAATTATTCTAGAGTCATAATAAGTCCTATTTCTTATTGTTTATTTCGTGAATAAAATATTTTGCGAACTGATGCACGCAGCACCTTAACAGAGATAGCAAGTGCCGCGAAAACAGAGAGCGAGTATAAGTGAGTGCCCGCGGGAGCGATTGCTCGTGACACCTAATGCCGAGTTCAGACTGCATGATTTTCAAAGTAGTCGTGTCACAGATGTTTTCACACTGCATGACTATCTGGGCTTGCGTTTCGGCGCTGCTTTGTTTACACTGCAAGATGGATCGGGGACAGGGGCTTTCAGATTGCATGACTTTACTATAGGAACAATCGCCGACAACTTCATCCAAACTACGTTCTCATAACTACATAATGAGAAAGAATCCTTTAATGGGGTAGAACATGTACATGTTTGCTCACCTGGGTTTAAAGGGAATTAGCCATTTCTCCTCAACTTAAGTTGATAATAAACTAATTTCTTTCTGTATGAACCGTCAAACAGACACGGTTGCTCCTGAGTGCTGTCAAACCTCCACTAGTTTTTCCTCCATTTCGTGGGTCCAAATAAACCAAAAAAGAGCGCTTTTAACTTCTCCCCCAGCCTCCTGCTGGCCTGCAGCAGGTATACACAAACACACACAAGTGAATGCCGCTCTCTCATTGGCTGTAGGCGATCGCTGATGTTATTTTCAGTCAAAACTCAATTCACACGGCATGATTTGAATCGCCGACAGCTCCAGATATTTAGCACGCCAAATATCTCATAGGCATCTGCGACTCATTGGCGATTCTCTCAGATTGCGTCTTTGATTGTTCATACTGTGTGATTGTCACTCACGTGCACGAGCAGCGATTTGCCTGTGATTTCAGGCATTTGTCGGCGATTTCTCAAAACCTGTCGGCGAGCCAAAATCAGGGCTAAAATCTCGCAGTCTGAACTAGGCATAAAGCATGCGAGAGAGGCTCTGCCTTTAAACCCTCAAGTGTCATTAAGTTTGACATGTTTCCCCCTTACATGCAACTTTTGTAAAGACAGTTGCTGTGTAAGAATTCTTGCTTGTAAAATACACTTTAGAATGCTCAGTTTAAGCAAATTGGATGAACGCAATCATGCGTGTTGATCTGAAGAGCGTCGCTCTCGCTCACCGAAAACCGCTGGAAAACCAGGCTGTACGCTGTACTGCTAGCGTTGCGTGCATCTGTTCCCTAGCGACAATAACAATCGCCTGATATCGCCTGTCCGTTTTCCTCAAAGTTGTTTAGAATTAAATGTTTAGTGATGCTGTGACACAACGCCAATGTGTGCCTTTTTTCATGCACCCCTTACGTCATTGCCGCAGCACCGAAATTAGGCAGCGAAATTCATACGCTGATTTAATACCGGTACATACCGGTTACCAAGGTACCGGTGCTATAATGGCACCGGGTTTTGGTACCCAACCCTGCTAATCAGCAGTGCCCAAACAAGATGTGGGTTATGCCCATCTTAAACAAACAGGTGAGTGCAGACTGTAAGTGGGGGAGAGACATAATCTTTCAGCCAGAGAAAAAACAAACTTTAGTTTTATTCGGCAGTGACTGAGATCAGACAAAGACTATATGGACTTTGATTTGAATAGGTTTGGCGCAGTTACATTAAAACTTGAAGAGACAGACTGAGTAAACAAGTTTCGCCCTCAGTAGCTATGGATCCATCCAAAGATGCTAATTAAATTTATAGGCGAAACTGGATTATCCCATTAACAAACTTGCAAAAACAGGAAGTGATCATTTTCTTTTCTTTGACTCCTTGAATGTAAACACTGCTTGATTAACTTGTGACAATAACGTAAAAACAGAATTTGCTGGGGTAGGAGAAGCTGCGTGAATTTTTTTTTTATTTAATAAATTACTTGCGCCTCAGAAGACAAATGCTGGCATGCAATGAGGCATGAAACGCGGAGCAGAGATGCTCTTGACAGTTCTGGAGGTAATTAATAATATAATAACATTAATACTGAAATGGTTAATGCATTTTAGAATGACCAAAACAACATTTCAGATGTTTTACAATATGCTCAGCCTACTGGTTTGTCCATTCACACATTTATTGTCACATGATCTCTTATAACAAAATCAAATAACTTTTTTTAATGCGCATACTGGAATTAGTTTGATAAGCTATGGTATATATTGTAGTTTATTCACATTTTTTTATCAAATAAAAAGTTTATCCTATTCAGTTATGCGCATGAGTTTTTTTGTTCATTTTGAAAATCTATGTGCATTTTGGCTTTTCCATCAACCATTTTCTATGCGCATATCCAAAATGTGTGGATAGTAGCACAGCTAATGCCTTAACAGCGCAGATGCATGCACTGCCAATCTGATGATGCATAAACTCCTTCATGAGCAGATACTTGCATTGACACAATGACTAAACTGAGAATAAAAGCATTTGATTCCCTAAAGACTGACAGTTTGTTTAACTGAGACATGCACACAGAGAACACGAAAAAAAGGGCACATAGTTTTTTTTTGTACCATGTGTGACCTACCCATTCAGTTGCGTCGCTTCATTCCCATTAATGAATTATCTTGTGGTGCATCATGGGATAGCGTCGCGTGCATGGGATGCACACTTCAGAGTCTTGCCGGAAGTAGGTCGGGTACTTGCATACAGTTTTTCGAATTCTATGTATTCGGACATAATACTCGACTTCCATACTATATAGTACATTAAATGTAGGCGATTTTGGAAACTATGAGCAGTGCCTGTAAACAGTTTTTCCGCAGAAGTAATTTTTTTTTAAGTCTGAAAAAAAACGAGCTCATGCCTATATAATAGTAATGTCATCACCATTTAATTGCATACTTTAAAAGTTGCTAAAGCAGGCTGAAATGCCTATATTTAGAACATTTCAGAACATGTTAATGTATGATACATTTCATAAACAATTTGTTTCTAGAGTCATTTTTATTTCATTATTTGAATCATTATTTTGCTATTACCATGTGAATGCTGTTTTTTTATTTCTTTGGTGACAATTAGGTTGAATAGATTTCAAAAGTGCTAAGCGATCTGAAATGAACATCCTTAACTAGGGTCAATATTTATTATTATTATGTTTTTTAAATTGCTTAACATGCACCTTTTAAAAGCTTCATTGTTTGTTTAAAAAAAATCTGAAAAAATTAGTTGACACTAATAAACCTAATATTATAGTGATGTATCTTTCATGATATGGTCAACTTCATATTGTGCTGTATTACTTCACATCACACTTGTTTTGTGGTTTGTTTGGCTAATGAGTTTGCTATTCATTTACTTCAGGTGTTTTTGGTGTGGAAGAAGGAAGAGTGTCTGTGATGGATGGAGATTCAGTCACTCTTTACACTGGTGTTAGAACAGGCCAACATGAAGGGATTACATGGTATTTTAATCTCATTCGCATTGCTCTGATAAATGGAGATCGGAGTAAGAGCTGTACAGATGTTCAGTGTAATCTAAATTTAAAAGCAAAGAATGAGAGATTTAGAAACAGACTGAAGCTGGATGAAGAAACTGGAGATCTGACCATCCTTAACATCAGAACCGCAGACGATACTGGAGATTATCAACTGATTATCCACAGCAACAGCAGCAACAACAAAGACAACATTGAAAAGACCTTCAGGATTGCTGCTGATACTTCTGAAATGAAGAGTCCGTCAGTGAAGGAGGGAGAATCTGTCACTTTAGATCCTGGCGTAAACGCATATAATGAGATGAGCTGGTATTTCAGTGACATTCTCATTGCTCGACTCACTGGAAATCAGAGTCAGATCTGCACAAATGCTGAGTGTAAAGAGAGATTCACTGACAGACTGAAAACTGAAAACGATTCTCTGAATATCACTAACAGCAGAAGCACAGACTCTGGAGAATATAAACTGATGATCAACTGCAGCACATTCAGCATCATCAGGAAGCTTACTGTTAATGTCACCAGTGAGTATCATTTAGCCACTCTGTATACCTTTGCTTGATAACTCTCTTATCATCTGATGATAATAATGTTAAAACATCTATAAAAAAAGTAATCTTATGAATATTATACATCTGATTGCAAAAGTGAAAAGAAATATCAGCTATAAAAGTTTGCTAAAACTTTGTATTAGTCGTTCTGTAGTAATAATGACTGTCTATGTCTGTTTTAGATTCAGCTCATCCAGAAGTTATTGCATATGTGCTGGTGGCTGCTGTATTTGCTGCTGTTGCTGCTGCTGCTGCTGCTGCTGTTGTTGCTGTAATCTTATGCTGGTGGCGTTATAATTCATCACAACAGAATGGCAAGTCATACATAAAGCTTAACAAGATTATTTTGTTGCCAAAATGAAAATTTGTTGCAAAAAAAACTTTTTTTAATATCCAAAGTAATAGTTTATTGTGTTTTGTTCCAACAGGAAACAGGACAGGAGAACAAAATACTACGGTGAGAAATTATATCCACTATATTTCTTTCTCCCAATAATCGGGCATCTGCTTGAGCTTTCTGGTGATAAGTGTAGATTTTGTTGGTTTTTATTGATTATTGATTTTATTGATTATTAAGACATGGTTTAAGTTCAACATTTTTATTTACTTATTTGAATCATCCGTAATGATACAATAATTCCATCATTTTAATGTATATTTTTTTCTCAGAATGGTCCTGAAGTTGTGCCCCTTAATTCCAGACTGAATGGTGCCAATGGAACATCTAATGAGGCCAACTGTTCATTACTGCCTGCTGATAATGAAAATGGACTGGCAGCTAATGGCACACCACAGTAAATGTTTATTTTTTAAAATTATTTTAAGGTATAGAAGGTGCATGGACGAAACATTAAACTTGTAATAAAGGAGATTTCATTAATTTTCTCCTTTATTACAAGTGTTGCTAGAGTTCCTTATTTTTACTATATAATGGCATAAGGCCTTACAATTTCAGAGGGTTTCTAAATCTAACTGAGAAACAAACTTGAAATTAAAGCTGCAAGCAGCGATGATAGGGACCTCGCAACCGGGCTCACCGCTGCCCGGTGACCTTACGATGACAGAGAACAGCGAACAATAATAATTTAAGCCAATATATAAAAAAAGATCTAAGAAAATCACAGATTTATGTCCAACTTCCTCCTGTCAGCAGGTGGCGCTATAACTATGACTTAAGATTGGCGTGTAGATGTCTTCCGGAGAGGAATCTTATCAACCATGTGAAGTTTCAGGCACATGGGACATTGTGTGGCTGAGTTATAAGCCAAACTACCTTCTGCCAGCAGGTGGCGTTATGACTGACTCAATATTGTTATGTGGATGTGTTCAGGAGAGGACTTTTATCAATCATGTGAAGTTTCAGGCAGATCAGAGATTGTGTGGAGATTTTGTTTTAAGACAAACTACATTCTGCCAGCAGGTGGCGCTATGAAAGACTCAATATTATTATGTAGATGTGTTTAGGAGAGGACTTTCATCAACCATGTGACATTTTAGGCAGATCTGACATTGTGTGGCCGACTTACAAGCCAAAATTTCTTCTGCCAGCAGGTGGCGCTATGACTCTGACTCAATATTATTATCTAGATGTGCTCAAGAGAGGACTTTCATCAACCATGTGAAGTTTCAGGCAGATCGGACATTGTGTGGCCGAGTTACAAGCCAAACTACCTTCTGCCAGCAGGTGGCGCTATGACTGACTCAATATTGTTATGTAGATGTGTTCAGGAGAGGACTTTTATCAATCATGTGAAGTTTCAGGCAGATCAGACATTGTGTGGTTGAGTTATAAGAAATTCCTGTTCCATGGCGAAGCGTTGAGGTTTGTCATGCCACCACAGACACGCCCCTCTGCAAAAACTCTAGATCTTTACAATATATCATCGCTAGAGCTTTCAGATGACACCACTCTATTTTGGTGCTGATACGGGAAAGTTTGTGGAAGGAGTTTGTTACAGTGTCAAACATGTCATTTCCAGTGGCCAGCAGGTGGCGCTATAACTGTAACTGGATATCGGCACTTAAACCTGATCAGGTCAGGACTGTTATTAAATGTGTGAATTTTGAGGCAGATCAAATATTGCATGCCAGAGTTATAAAGACTTCCTGTTTTGTGGTGAATCATCAAAGTTTGCGAGGCTGCCACAGACACGCCCATCGATGAAAACTCTAAAGCTTCGCAATTTAACATCACCAAGGCTTTAAGATGACAAAACCCAATTTTGGTGTCTATCAGATAAAATCCCTAGGAGGAGTTCGTTAAAATACAACGCCTGAAAATGGCAAAAGCGCCACTTTTTCGCCACAGGAAGTTAAAAATATCCGACTTCCTGTTGGGTTTGAGATATGGCTCCAAGAGACTTTTTCGTATGTTTTGCCATGTTTGAGGTGTGTGCCAATTTTTGTGCATGTGCGTGATTCGTAGATCGGGGGCTCGTCCGTTTAATTTTTCTAGGTGGCGCTGTCGAGTCATTTTGCCACGCCCACTTCAATATTGTTATGTGGATGTGTTCAGGAGATGACGTTTATCAACCATATGAAGTTTCAGGCAGATCGGACATTGTGTGGTTGTGTTATAAGGACTTCATGTTCCATGGCGAAGCGTTGAGGTTTGTCATGCCGCCACGGACACGCCCCTCTGCGAAAACTCTAGATCTTCACAATATATCATCACTAGAGCTTTCAGATAACACCACTTAATTTTGGTGCTGATACGATCAAATTTGTGGGAGGAGTTTATAACTCCGTAAATCATGTCATTTCCTGTGGCCAGCAGGTGGCGCTATAACTGTATCTGGATATTGGCATGTAAACGTGTTCAGGTCAGGACTCTTATCAAGCGTGTGAATTTTGAGGCAGATCAGATAATGCATGCCTGAGTTATAACGACTTCCTGTTTTGTGGCGAATCGTCAAAGTTTGCGAGGCCGCCACGGACACGCCCATCGATGAAAACTCTAAAGCTTCGCAATTTAACATCGCCAAGGCCTTTAGATGACAAAACCCAATTTTGGTGTTGATCGGATAAAATCCCTAGGAGGAGTTCGTTAAAATACAACGCCTGGAAATGGCAAAAACGCCACTTTTTCGCCACAGGAAGTCAAAAATATCCGACTTCCTGTTGGGTTTGAGATATGGCTCCAAGAGACTTTTTCGTATGTTTTGGTGTGTTTGAGGTGTGTGCCAATTTTCATGCATGTGCGTGATTCGTATATCGGGGGCTCGTCCGGTTAATTTTTCTAGGTGGCGCTGTCGAGTCATTTTGCCACGCCCACTTCCAAAGCCCATAACAAACGTAAATTTTCGCCACTTCTGAGGCGTGTGCAAAGTTGCGTGAGTTTTCGGGCATGTTTAGCCCCTCAAAACCGCGATTCATTCCGCGGAAGAAGAAGAAGAAGAAGAAGAAGAATAATAATTAAAGCTGCAAGCAGCGATGATAGGGACCTCGCACCCGGGCTCACCGCCGCCCGGTGACCTTACGATGACAGAGAACAGCGAACAATAATAATTTAAGCCAATATATAAAAAAAAGATCTAAGAAAATCACAGATTTATGCCAAACTTCCTCCTGTCAGCAGGTGGCGCTATGACTGTGACTTAAGATTGGCATGTAGATGTCTTCCGGAGAGGAATGTTATCAACCATGTGAAGTTTCAGGCACATGGGACATTGTGTGGCTGAGTTATAAGCCAAACTACCTTCTGCCAGCAGGTGGCGCTATGACTGACTCAATATTGTTATGTGGATGTGTTCAGGAGCGGACTTTTATCAACCATGTGAAGTTTCAGGCAGATCAGAGATTGTGTGGAGATTGTGTTTTAAGACAAACTACATTCTGCCAGCAGGTGGCGCTATGAAAGACTCAATATTACTATGTAGATGTGTTTAGGAGAGGACTTTCATCAACCATGTGACATTTTAGGCAGATCTGACATTGTGTGGCCGAGTTACAAGCCAAAATTTCTTCTGCCAGCAGGTGGCGCTATGACTGACTCAATATTGTTATGTGGATGTGTTCAGGAGAGGACTTTTATCAATCATGTGAAGTTTCAGGCAGATCAGACTTTGTGTGGTTGAGTTATAAGAAATTCCTGTTCCATGGCGAAGCGTTGAGGTTCGTCATGCCACCACAGACACGCCCCTCTGCAAAAACTCTAGATCTTCACAATATATCATCGCTAGAGCTTTCAGATGACACCACTCTATTTTGGTGCTGATACAATAAAATTTGTGGGAGGAGTTTGTTACACTGTAAAACATGTCATTTCCTGTGGCCAGCAGGTGGCGCTATATTTGTAACTAGACATCGGCACCTAAACCTGATCAGGTCAGGACTGTTATTAAATGTGTGAATTTTGAGGCAGATCGAACATTGCATGCCAGAGTTATAAAGACTTCCTGTTTTGTGGCGAATCATCAAAGTTTGCGAGGCCGCCACGGACACGCCCATCGATGAAAACTCTAAAGCTTCGCAATTTAACATCACCAAGGCTTTAAGATGACAAAACCCAATTTAGGTAATTATCAGATAAAATTCCTAGGAGGAGTTCGTTAAAATACAACGCCTGAAAATGGCAAAAGCGCCACTTTTTCGCCACAGGAATTTAAAAATATCCGACTTCCTGTTGGGTTTGAGATATGGCTCCAAGAGACTTTTTCGTATGTTTTGCCATGTTTGAGGTGTGTGCCAATTTTCGTGCGTGTGCGTGATTCGTAGATCGGGGGCTCGTCCGTTTAATTTTTCTAGGTGGCGCTGTCGAGTCATTTTGCCACGCCCACTTCCATATTGTTATGGGGATGTGTTCAGGAGAGGACTTTTATCAACCATGTGAAGTTTCAGGCAGATCGGACATTGTGTGGTTGTGTTATAAGGACTTCCTGTTCCATGGCGAAGCGTTGAGGTTTGTCATACCGCCACGGACACACCCCTCTGCGAAAACTCTAGATCTTCACAATATAACATCGCTAGAGCTTTCAGATAACACCACTCAATTTTGGTGCTGATACGATAAAATTTGTGGGAGGAGTTTATAACTCCGTAAATCATGTCATTTCCTGTGGCCAGCAGGTGGCGCTGTAACTGTATCTGGATAGTGGCATGTAAACGTGTTCAGGTCAGGACGCTTATCAAGCGTGTGAATTTTGAGGCAGATCAGATAATGCATGCCTGAGTTATAACTACTTCCTCTTTTGTGGCGAATCGTCAAAGTTTGCGAGGCCGCCACGGACACGCCCATCGACGAAAACTCTAAAGCTTCGCAATTTAACATCGCCAAGGCCTTTAGATAACAAAACCCAATTTTGGTGTCGATCGGATAAAATCCCTAGGAGGAGTTCGTTAAAATACAACGCCTGGAAATGGCAAAAACGCCACTTTTTCGCCGCAGGAAGTTAAAAATATCCGACTTCCTGTTGGGTTTGAGATATGGCTCCAAGAGACTTTTTCGTATGTTTTGGCATGTTTGAGGTGTGTGCCAATTTTCGTGCATGTGCGTGATTCGTGGATCGGGGGCTCGTCCGTTTAATTTTTCTAGGTGGCGCTGTCGAGTCATTTTGCCACGCCCACTTCCGAAGCCCATAATAAACGTAAATTTTCGCCACTTCTGAGGCGTGTGCAAAGTTGCGTGAGTTTTCGGGCATGTTTAGCCCCTCAAAACCGCGATTCATTCCGCGGAAGAAGAAGAAGAAGAAGAAGAAATAATAATTAAAGCTGCAAGCAGCGATGATAGGGACCTCGCACCCGGGCTCACCGCCGCCCGGTGGCCTCAGGATGACAGAGAACAGCGAACAATATTAATTTAAGCCGATGTATATAAAGAACCCGAGAAAATCACAAATTTATGTCAAACTTCCTCCTGTCACCAGGTGGCACTATGACTGTGACTCAAGATTGGCATGTAGATGTTTTCAGGAGAGAATTCTTATCAACCATGTGAATTTTCAGGCAGATCAGTCATTTTGTGGCTGATTTGTAAGCCAAACTACCTTCTGCCAGCAGGTGGTGCTATGAATGATTTAATTTTGTTATGTGGATGTGTTCAGGAGAAGACTTT